AAAACGTACAAAATACACCATTTAAGTGTTCATTTTACTATAGTTTGTCTATTTGCATCTGTATATTCTCCTAAATTCACCAAAAGTTAACATTTCTAACGTAACATAAAGTACCGCGATCGCTGTTTGCACAATGTCATCGTTGGAAAAGCTCCGTCTCTCCTGCACAATGATCTCATCGGATCCAAATATGGTCATTTCTTTGTATCAGCAACCAATCGTGAAAGCACAAAAGGGTTTTAAACCAATAAACGAAATCTCATTGGCTGGTGTCAATTTCTGACAACGTGATTTCGTTCAGATGCATCACGTGGTGTGTAAAACACTTCCTGGTTAGCTTTCCGCTAGAAATGTAAATCTCAAAATGGCAAAAGAACGGCGAAAAAAAACGTTCACAGAGAAGACAACAACAATTGTCACTTGCACGAAGCAAGGTTATACAAAACACAAATGACCCCGAACATGAAATACCTTCCACGGAGTGCGTCGATGCGCAAGCTGTCATCCAAAGAACAGAGGGTTTTAGCTAGCGCCTCACTGCAATCTTTAAAGTTCGTTTTCTCAAAATGAGTTTTTTCTCCTACTCTGAGTCCGAAATTTCCACTTCAGTTGCACTTACATACACCAAACCTTCCAGTTATATTCCCCCTATCAATATTATGAAGGCTTTTACAGAAGGGTTTGTTCATATATCATTCATAGCCTGAATTATATAAGATTTTATACCTAGAAACATGGCGAAAATTGATATTTTAGGGCTGTTGACAATATTTTCTGATTTATGGAGTGATAAAGAGAGATATCCAAAATCCCTTCTGTAAAAGCCTTAGATGCTAATATGACTACAAAATGAAAGAATTTTTGAACCTGGCTTTATCCAAAGTTCAGATTTCGGTTCCTGAAATGTGTTTAAAATATGCGCAAATGTAATGAGATAATGGATAATTTGCATATTCAGAAAACTTGTAATATAAGAAACAATTGCCTTATTGTAGGTAATTAACTGGAGAAATTGGTTTATGAAGCCTAGTTTAAGGCGAGGACCACCCCAGGTGAATAGGGTAATTTCTAAAGTTAATTACCTTCAGAGCCATATAATAGAAGAGTTACAACAACGGAAGTCCAAAAACGGTTATCGTCACGTGGTTCATGTAGAAGAGGATCGTTCCCCGGAAGTTCATGGCGGGCAATGTGAATGCATTGATAACAGGAGATAGAACTACGATTTTTGGTAATTATTAGTGAATAAAGGTTTTGATTTGCAATATTTATACAACAAATCGATATGTGTATGTATTTACATCAATATGTTTTAAAAAATAAAATAGAATTTGCTAATAATAATATTAGGATTAGTGTGAACAACTAGTTTACATGTTAGGCTAACAGTGCCTTGGTTAAAGAGCCAGTTGCTGTTTATTGTATAGCTTTGAATTCTTTAAAACCAATATTATCTTCTTAAACCTTGTATGGTAGTCAGGAGCATCACTTTCTAATGTTTATTGATATATTTAGAGGGAGGGGATCTAAAGTAATGCTTTAAAATTCAGATTAGATTAATGTCTACCATTTTCTTAAATTCATGGTAGTTTCAGTAATCCCATGGTAATTGAGGACACAAGTTATCTAAATGACTAATGTCATCTTTATGGCTTTCAGAAAGGACAGGAGACCGACAGGTGACTATCAAAGGACTAGCAGCAGCAGCATGATGATGATGTTAAATGTGTTGTTTTAGGAACATCCATTGCAAATACATGGGATTCAATAAACATTGAATAGCATATCATGCAGTTTGTCTGTGCCTTTTCCTCCTTGTTGTCCTGGTTTGCTGTGCTGCCTCCTAGTCGCCACCATGGTTTGCTGTGCTGCCTGGGGATGCTCCAATCGCTCAGAGAAAGGAGTACGAATGTACAGCCTCCCCACTGACACAGAGCGGAGGAAGCAGGAGCAATTTCACGACCAACAGCAAAAAAATATGTGATTTATATACAAACACTGCATTTGCACTTTTTCACAAAACGAAAACCACACCATTGGGCAAGCTTAATGTTTTGTTTAATACAAAAAACAGGGAAAGGCTTGAAAAACAGAGAGTTGAGACTCAGGGTGCAGGGTGAGGGTCTCAGTGCAGGTATTCAGGCTCCATTGAATCCCCCTCTGGTTCTTGTGCTGAAAGAGGGATAAACAGACAGGAGAAAGGGTTATACTGTATACACACCTATATAGCACACCTATTGGATGGGAAATTGCCTTGGGGAGATAAGGTGTGGTCTTTGTTCCCAACTGAAGTTATGGAACTTTATTATTTGTGAGTTTAACAAAGTATGACAAATGGCATCAGTAACATATGTGATATGAATTTCTATAAAATTGTCTCACATTCTTGGTCATATTGTATATACAGTATGTAATGAGTATAATATGTCCAGTATAAAGTGTTTCCTAATACTGTGTATTCAACCACTATGGAATATGTATGTGGGCAGACAAAACTGAGTTGTTCTGTGTGTGAAGTAACCTCAAGTCACTCCGCAGGCACATTTTGATGCAGACCAGTTTGTCAAGACAAAAAAGGGCAAGGACTAGGCTGAGAGCAGAGGCTATACCCACCATCTTCGTGCATCGCCCTGTGGTCAAAAAGAGACACCCACCCGATTCACCCCGGGACCTGTATCTACAAAGCCCATAGCTCATGATCACAGCGATAGTGTGAAAGGTGACACAGGTATAATAAGTATGAACTCTTAGTAACAAAAGTAATATTTCTTATTTTAAGTGGTTATAATATTTTAAATGTTCCGAACATTTACAGTGCCATGTCTTCTACTTACATTAGTCTCAAAGATTGAGGGAAGAAGGGAAGGGATCACTGTGCTCCTCCTCTGGCAGGTGGAGACCTGCCAGAGGAGAGCAAACAACAAAAACAAGCAAGGTGTCCCGTCATGTACCTGGAAGTTTGGGTTGGGCAAAATGGAGTAAGAGAGGGACTTGAAAAACCTTGGTGGCTGTAGCATCTAAGGCTTTTACAGAAGGGATTTTGGATATCTCTCTTTATCACTCCATAAATCAGAAAATATTGTCAACAGGAAGTGTTTTACACACCACGTGATGCATACTGTAAACGAATCACCGTTGTCAGAAATTGACACCAGCCAATGAGATTTTGTTTATTGGTTTAAAACCCTTTGTACTTTCACGATTGGTGCTGATACAAAGGAAATGACCATATTTTGGATCCGATGAGATCATTGTGCAGGAGAGACGGAGCTTTTCCAACGATGACCATTGTGCAAACAGCGATGCGCGGTACGGTGGTACTTTATGTTACGTTAGAAATGTTAACTTTTGGTGACATTTAGGAGAAAATATACAGATGCAAATAGACAAACTTATAGTAAAATGAACACTTAAAATTGTGTATTGTTGTACGTTTTCCTTCCAAAAGCCTGAAAGAAAGAAACATGTTATGGAATCAAATAGCACACACATCTCAAAATTGACCAGTGCATGAAAAACGATGTTTTTTGCTGCCGTGTCTCGCCTTTAACAAACAATTTATGCGGCTCGTATCGCTGACAGCCGAGCCCGGCCCGGCACCGCCTTTAACAAATGTTTTTTAAACGGCTCCATCCACACTTTTGGCAGAGCAAAATGACTTCCCGCGGCTATGCACATTCACAGTAAATATGTATTCAGTATGATAGCTGTTCTAACAGAAGTTAATGCCATTTCTCACTTATTCTGACAATGTACCTTAATAGTAATAAAAAAATCCTCACGTCTGTAATATACTCTCTCTCTCTCTCTCTCTCTATCTCTCTCGTCTCTCTCTTCTTCTCTATATCTATCTTCTCTATCTCTCTCTCTCGCTCTCTCTCTCTCTCTCCTCCTCTCTCTCTCTCTCTCTCTCTCTCTCTCTCTCTCTCTCTCTCTCTCTCTAGTTTTCCTTTTGAGCTTTGCCAAAAGCCACTGTGTTAATGTTGTCTACTGGATTGCCGTCCGGAGTTGTCCAATATGGCGGACCATCTCGCACATGCGCACTGCAGATCGGGCAGAGCTGCAGATCGGGTAGTGACAGGCTGGAAGAAGCTGCGCATGGCTTCCTTTCCCTCCACAAAAAAGCAATGAGATTTCTCCATAGGGATTTTAGAAAATAGCTCAAATAAGATCTGTGGGAAACGTACCTGTTAGATAAATGCACGTTTTGTTCAGCAGGATAATATCCACATGTCTACCCTACTTTTATCATTTTCGAATCATAAATCTATCGATTAGATTTATGATAGACTTTTGAAACTACAAGAAGATAGGGAGGACTTTTACAAAAAAGTAATAGAGATTTTTGTCCAGAAGGACAGGCAAATGGACTTCATCTTCAAGTCAAGGTAAGACCCACAATTTTATTGAAAATGGGATCTTACTAAGAGAGAACAATTCAATATTTAAATGATACAATTAATTTTTTTTGGGTATCCTTCTGTTGAACTGTCTGTTAAAATTAATTGAAGCATCAGACAAAAAAGCTTTTGAAAATAATATTAGATTTTGATTTAGGTCAAAATATAATATTTGTAAACCTTGAAGAGTCAGTGCCAGTGCCTCGCCAGCCATGAACCTCTCTGCAGAAGCTTATATATAGGACATCTAAGTTGTTTGTGCCCCACCACTTTTGCACATATAGAAACGCCACTGGTAAAGTTATACAAGCATTTGTACCAGTGCTTTTCACAAGTAGACTCTTGCAGGCCAGAGTATAGGAGTGATTCAACAACAACAAAAAGACATATGAGAAGTGATCAGGACGAACAGAAAGAGGAAAAGGAAAAGATAGATGAAGAGACCAGGAGGGTCAGAGCAGGAGGAAGAGGAGGAGATGAAGCAGGCCCGGTTCCAGAACAAAATGACTAAGGGTGCAACTGAGATTAGAGAGGGTGCAGTGTAAAGTGCTATTTGTATAAGTGGGGAGTGGACCTAACACCCTCTAGGGCAGGGGTGCCCAACCTTTTTTGAACCGAGAGCTACTTTTAAAGTTGCCAGTCTGCCGAGGATCTACCAGTCCAAATAGAGAGGCGTAGCCATTACTGACAGCCTACTACCAGGTAAATACACACTTCTACTTGTATAAACTGAGTAGTGTTGCTACAAAGTATAAATTAGGCTTACTAATAAGGACCAACTCAGATCTGAAGCTACACAGGAATCTGCTGCCAAAGTGCAATAAAAAAGACAAAATTAATAGAATCAAACCCTTTTTTTGTTGCATTTTAGTAGAGTATAAAAATAAATGCCTTTAAAATAGGATGCAAGCAACACTAGTTTCTTAACCTGAATTGATAATAGACTATAATCTTTTATCTTTATTTTATACCATTTTGTACAATAATTATAATGAATAAGTTCCAAACAAACTAAAACTTACAGCTGATTAATAACGGTATATCTAACTTGAGTTTTTATTATATCAAAAACCTGTTGAAATGCTACTGTTATTTGTACTGTCCCCTAAAGCGCATCGGCAGCCTCCAGGAATGCTTCTTTCACAACTCCGCCAACTTTGAAAGACTTCAGGGTTGCGTTCCGATAATCCAAAATTAGCTCCAAATTCTAACCCTATCTCCTATTCCTTGACCTCTGAGTGAAACGTCACGGGGTTAAGGGATAGTGGATAGGAGAATTCAAAAGGACTTAGGAGAGAGACCGCGGGTACTTTAGAGAATCCGAATGCACTTTCACCTATCCGACGTGTTTATGATGCGCCAGCGGACGTCATGAATATGCGTCTGCTGCTGTGGGGAAACTATGGAAACTACAGTTTCTATACAGCGGACTACAACATGGATGTTTAAAAAGAACGAGGGACTACTGTAAACTCATCTAGAGACTCTGCACCGTGCTCTGATGCTGTTGCTTTATGCTTTATGAACGTGGACAACAGAGAAACATATTCTTCATGAACAAAGTTGGAATTTAAATAAAAAAGGAAAGTGAAACTTATGCTCGTCACCCTCTCCCTCCGGTCCACATTAATACAAATGATCCCAATACGTATGATTGTATGAACTATGAAAATATCTTAAAATCAATACAAAGGTATTTATTATAAACGTTAGTCCTTAACATCTAATCACTGTGTACATCACCATTCAAACGTCTTTTAAAAGTTGAACAAACCCCACACAGCTCAGTAAAGACTGTGAGATGTTGACTTTATTGATAATTTCAGTAAAAACTAACGTTCATATTTCTTCTTTTTGATTATAATACTGATGAACGTTCAGAAAAAGCACTTTGGCAACTTACCACATACGTTTTAAAAAGCTTAATACGCACCGTAACTTTCATGATATCATTTCTCGGTCATAATCGGTTGTTTCCGTGAACGGCCGACTGTTGTGATGGCAAATGCTGCGGCTGCATGCTTGCATTGTGGGGCAGCATTTTCTCCTCTCCTTTCGGTTAGGGAGGTCCAGTGGTTCCTAAGCTAAAGGAGGTTATAAAGGAAGTTTGAAACCTCCTTTCCTTTCATTTGGAGAATTGGAACGGCACTTATCATGGCTGCCAGTGACGTACTTCCGGGTCATTTTCACTCCGTTAGGAAGGTTTCCTAAGCTAAATGGACTATCGGAATGCAACCCTGGTGAAAATGGACTGCTGTGCATTTAGCTGTCCTTTCAGGCCCCTCCCCTTTTGGGAGCGTAGGGCAGAATTAGGAGGGAATTCCGTCTCGTAGCGTTTGTGCACTGTTTTTGAAATGCCGCTCCTAAATTACTCTTCTCGATAAAGTCACGCTCGCATTGCAGATGAGACAGATGGACTTTGCATTGGAATAGATACAAAATAATCATCCTCCCACTCGGAGTGAAAATTATATATTTTGGGCTTTTTTTGCTTCTGCCATAATTGCGGTCTTGTGTGTGTGTGCGGACTGTCACTCCTGTTGACACGGACAACGTCAGTGAAATAATGCCCACTGCCCACCAGCCACGCTCCGACACATGGGGTCACGCCGGCCAATCACAAAGCTTTGATGCGTTCAAGTGCATTATTCTGGCACAGGAAGATTATGGTATAGGCAGAGTACTCAAGTTGGAAAAAGAAATCAGGGGGGATGGTGGATTTTATCATATGGGGACATCATTTGTGCTGATAACCCGCAGAGGGTGGGAGACCAACCAGCATAAAGATAATTATTATACTCCTAAACAACATGCATGTTATGGATGTTCAGATACTCCTTTCATTGCTCTTGACCAAGGCACCTCAGAATTAGAGTCGGTCCCCGGGCTGCCATGGCACCCACTAACATTTAGGGTCAAATGTTGAGGACAATTAGTGCAAAATCTTTTTTTTCACTTTAATTTAAAGGGGGGGAGGGATACAACAATGTGGTTATAATGGAAGTATATGGTACAAATCTGTAGGTTAACAGTCCCTCCTTTATTATCAGATGGATCAGCTGATTGTATTAATAATAAGTCAAAATAGTTTTTAGAATATTGAATTATAGTGTATTTTTCAAAAAAGCAGTTACTGGTATACGATCAAAACTGGTATCTAAAGGGTTACCATTTGTATCGTAATTAATTAAATTCATTATGTAAATTCTTCATGAAAAATTTGAGGAAAACATTTGAAAAATATTGATCCGTCATCATTTTATTGCCGTTCAAATACAAATATTTTACGTTAACATTCCCAATGTTACTTTTTTTAACAGGGCATTAAGTGCAAATTGAAATTGTTTACAAAATATGAAAATATATTAAAGATTATACAGATAATACAAAATAGGACCAATGCTGTCAATGGCTGCCTACTCCACTCTCCCCCATCTCATAGAAGTTTCCAAAGATTTTCATAATCATGTTTTTTGGTCTCAATTTTTCTGGCTCTTGCTTTCGGATTGTTAGCTAAGCAATGGCTTTGAAGCCAAGTCTTGACATATACCTCTGGTCTGAACTTGTTCAGTGGAGGGCCAACACACTTGATGAAAGCAAGGCTGACATGCTTTTTACCTCTAGGGAGCTTCTAGTTGTGGTTAAAATGTTCATCTGACTAAACCCACGTTCACACTCAGCTGTGGAGATGACCAGAGTGGTCACTGCTTGAAGGAGGGGTTTCAGCTCTTCTGGTGCTGGTGGTATCATTTCATCAACAGTTTTGAGTCTGACCAGCTAGCTAACACGAGAGAAAAACGTAGCTAAACTCCAAACTAAGTTGTTATTGCTGCTTATCAGTGGCGGCGCTAGGGGGTGGCTACTTGGGCTCAAGCCCCGGATGTTTTCTGAAAAGCCCCGAATGGTCACAAAAATAATTTTTTTTAACGTCTCGGGAGTAATGTGCAGTACCGGAGTCCACCAGAGAGGCATCCGCTGCGGGACATTAGCCTGCGTACTGCGTAGCCTGCCCTGAAGTAGAAGTGATCCTTCCTAGTGCCTGACGAGTTTTAAGCTACAGTAATAGCCTATACAGTTATGGATATTAGAAAGTTATTGTCATTGAAGCAGGCGCCACAAGCTGCAGCAAGCAAGCTGACAACAATGTCATCACCAGCAGTGAAGAAATGGACAATGTTTCAGGTTTGTGAATCTAATGGTGATATCTGCACTCTGGCTGACTGAGTAAGAAGTGAAAAAGAGTGATGTGACATTAATGTTATAGCTAGTAAACATGGAGTAACCACACTAAGTATACCCTTATGTTAGTATGTATGACAGAACATGACTAACCAATTATCCTAAGATTGTAATGTTAACCCTTCATACCTCAGTCTACTTTTACGACACTAAAATAACGTATTCCCCATTTTTTATTTGTTTTCGCGCGTGGAATTATACCGGCTCTCGTTTCAGTACACATAACAACGGAACTGACAGGCAACCCTCTGAATCAGACTCCGATTGGCTGTGACTGCATCCAACTCAGAGTGCCGATTCAGAAACGTGGCTCTTACACATTTTTTACGTCACAAACAAAGATGGTGGATGAGAATAGATCTATAAAACGATAAGCAATGCGCCAGAATCAAGGTGAGACTATCCGCATCTTTTTAAACTCTACGCACATTCATTTCACCTTAATAATGTAAACGACTATTTGAGTGAGTTAAGGCATTAGTTTGCTTTATTAAAGGGTGTTAATGAGTGTTCTCCAGTGCCTTTTGTCCGCTTTAAGGTGTTATTAAGGTAGGGTTATGTTAATGTTGCTCTCAAAGTGCACCAGAGAATGATGCTTTTCAACTTCAATATTTAAAAGAAAATCTTCCCGGGGAGCATGCCCCCGGACCCCCAAGAGGAGGCGACGGACCCCCCTAAAGGATGTCGGTCCACCCCCAGGCAGGGGTAGCACTGTACCCCTGCACCCCCCCCCCCCCCCAAACAACTCCTGGGCTAAGCCCCGGATCTCCTCCAATCCTAAATCCGCCACTGCTGCTTATGTCCATAGATTCCACCTTTGGTGACTAAAGTAGTGAGTAATGCCTAAGATTACTGATTATTGACTTACCTGAAATGTTATTTTTAGTATTTTTAAATATGAAGTCCCTCAGATCGCGTTGTCATTGCGTGTGTGCGTGCTCCCTCGCCCACAGTTTTTTACTCAAAATGCGCAAAATTAATGTTGAAATAGCAGTAATACCAGTGCCATGTTCATTGATAAAATTACATAAGGGATGGAAAGGGGGGATGGCAGTTTTAGAAGGGGGATGATTTTGACCGTTTTTATTTCAGGGGGGATGCCATCCCCCCTCATCCCCCCTCAACTCGAGTACTGGTTATAGGACGTTAACGATAAAACAGAATATTGTTGTTCTATTTTTAGACACATATCGCGATCGACTGGGAATCTGAGATTCCCAGATCGACTGGTTGGGCACGATTCCCAGATCGACTGGTTGGGCACCCCTGCTCTAAGGGGTTCCTCACCTCCTCTAGGGGGGTCCGGGGGCATGCTACCCCGGGAAGATTTTTAAATATTGAAGTTAAAAGCATCAATCTGGTGCACTTCGAGAGCAAAATGAAGAGATCTATGGATACCTCTCAACACCCATATGAAACAGAACTGTAAGCAGATTTACTATTTCTTTATGGATATTTTACAAATCACTCCCCTTTCAAGACCGAAATGTCTCCATGCATAGCAGAAGATGGCATTTTTTTGAGGAATATTCCAGCCAATCTCTGTTGTGAAACCATGAGCTGCAAAATGAGCACCTTACCCACTGAACAGGCGAGTTGGGTACTTTTTTTAATATACCTGGGCAGGCTCTGTTTTGCCGAGGTCCTCTGGCACTTGCGGGCTGCCGAGGGGTGGCGGTGTTTGGGGCAACGAAGACGGCTGCGGCTGCTCCGCCTCCGTGGGCAGAGCCGGCGAGTAGGGCGGGAGGACGTTAGTGTCCACGACAGTGGCCGCGGGTAACGTAATCTCCCCTTGATCTGAACTGTTATTACCTGCCAGTAGATGCAGTGTTACTGCTGGCGATAAGGGCTGGTTGGTTTTAACCATTTTCTGATGTCCATCACTGACTGCTGTGTAAGCACTTTGCAAATGACGAACGCGCAGGGGCACAGGTCACGCGCACCTGACATAATAATGTTACTTACCGTTTAAATTGACCAAATAAATGCAGCAGACAATGTTATTTAACCACAATTACAATTTATTTTTATTTCAACTATATTCTTCTTATTATTACTACTATTGTCATTATTGTTATTATATATGTAATATTTTTCACTTTTAATAATAAAAAAAAAAATTCACTTTACATTTTTTTTTTCACTTTTAATTTTTCAAATGAGGGTGCATAACAACTCAACTGAGGGTGCAATGCACCCTTATGCACCCCCGTAGAACCGGGCCTGAGATGAAGAGACCAGGAGGGTCAGAGCAGGAGGAAGAGGAGGAGATTAAGACATTAGTGAAGAAGAATAAATATATGTGAGGAATAAAGATGAAGTATCAGAAAGAGGGCCAGAGGCAGGGATCAGGAGGCAGATGAAACTCCAGCTGTACCACATGGTATGTTCTTATTCTCCTTACATATTCCATTACAGCAGCACAATCTACATTCATTTATACAGTATTCAGAATTCTGAGTATTCTCTGAATCAGGTGCCTTTTGGGTCTTTATATCTTTGAAAAATGAAACCAAAATGTTTGGTCATAACATCTGGTAGTGGACTACTATACATGTTCCCACCTCAGGCACAAAATATAAATAATTACTAGGAATTTCCTTGAAAAAATGTAACAGGGTTGAAGTTTTTGACAAAAAGTAGGCATGATACCTTGTTTAGCTAAGATATGGCACCACATGGAAATCAAGGACATTACAAAATTGTAATATTTTGCAAAACTATTGTTTATTTTTGTAATAAACAATTATTTACTATTATTAATTCATACAACATAGTTGAAATGTTGAGCTTGTCAATCTTAATCTGAAAATACAAAAACTGAAATATAGGTAAGAGAAGAAACTGACACTTTTGTGATGTAATTCCCTCAATGCAGATCACACACGGACTGATCCATTATTTTAATAGGAGGGTAAATGGTATGGCGTGACGGGGGTTGAAACAAACTGAGGGACAATATTGCAATTTCATAGATAATTCAAGTATTTTTTCAGAATTGATTTTTGATCAGTTAAAGTTGACAAGCATATGATTATATTAGCAGCAACATTTTGGGATAATTGGTCATTTTGATTTGTTTAATATTAAATTAATATGTAATAATGCTTAGTGAGGACATGCAAACATGTCTGTCTAAGACAACCAATTTTTTTTAAAACAAAATATATATTTAATTTTACATTGTAATGCAAAACAACCTGTTCCATTAATTCATTGCTTGAAAATACATTTTGTAGTTTCCTTTCATTTAAAATGGTTGAGGTAAGCTTGGGGGACTCAAAGGGCACCCGATTGTTTGTCTGAACACCTTCGTTGTCAACCTTACCACGGTACTTAGGAGATGTCATTTGTGTCCGAACAACGTTTTGTTCATGAGTTATTGATCCGTGAAATCTGAATCTGCCAATATCGTTCCAACTTTACTCGACTTGTTATCACTCAGTCATCCGTTTCTATAGACTATCTGGATTTAGTTATTGTGTAATAATTATTGTGTTCCCACAAATTACTAATGCGTGGGAACATAATAACTAATTTGTGGCCACGCATTATTAACTCGTGGCCACGCATTATTAACTCGTGGCCACGCATTATTAACTCGTGGCCACACATTAGTAACTCCTGGCCACGCATTATTAACTCGTGGCCACGCATTATTAACTCGTGGCCACGTATTATTAATTATTTCATATTTTTCTCACCAATGTCACCAGGGGGGCTCCGTAGGTTTTACCATATAAGGTAACATAATAAATTGCCAATACACCATGACAGTAAACCTTTTACCTATCAACAGCCGCAGTTCCTGGTGTATGCACGCAGTGAGCAGCCTGTTGCTGAGGGCCCGAGAGGAATAAAGGTAAGATACATTATTGTAAACGAACAGGAAGCTTTATCTTAATCATTCTCGTGGTACAATGTTGACTCCAATGTAAGGTTTTACGTTTCCTGGGTTTAACTCGTTGTAGCCTTTAATTGCAGAAAGAACTTTGTTCTTTGAGGCAGGCGACACATTCTTTTTTTATATGAATTGTTTGTGTAGAATTTTGAAGCTGGTTAAATAATAGGCGATTCAGGCTCAGAATTGGAAAGGCTTATACTTGGCAAACTATCTTACTTGTTTTAAACACCATCGAGGACTTTATTATGTTATTAACATCAATTTGATGAACCTACTGGCCAACAAACAGCACAGGAATCAGGGGAAGAATGGATGATGCATTTTGATGGAAAACTGTAATATATTATTGTGGCACACTAATAGAAAATAATGAAGTTGCCCCACAGTTGGATTTATTTTTCATTATTGGCGCTCACTTGTGTAAATTGGCGTGAACTCTTAAACTAAATTAAGCTGAAGTATGGCTCCATCTTCACAATCATTATAGGTGTCATTCTCTTTCACAATAGAAAGACCAGTAGTAAGCCATGACTCCGTGTTACAGTTTTTCTCGATTGCTAACACACATTTCTTTTTTAATTGCTCAGTTTCTCAAAACACTAAACACAATTCACAAAACCACACACCCAAAGTGCAAAACACCTCATTTCTCCTACTAAATGAAGAACTGCACTCAAAACTACATAAACACTTTCCAAATGCAAACTTTAGCACCAAATATAACACACTTCATTCATAATACTAGATGGTTTGACCACTGTTTAGAGTTTTGAGAGGTCCTGATAATTTATTCCGGCAAATTATTCTGACCTCCTAATTGACCTTTCCGAAGATTATTGAGTCTATGTAAGTTTGCTGCGTGGCTCAGATCCACCAACGTCAGCAAGATCTCACCTCTATTAACTTCCCGAAGAACCAAGGTTTCAATTAACTGCTGTTTCAATTCAGACAACTCTTTTTTAATCTGTTTAAGCGATCCCGAAGGATTTTGATATCAGTAAATGGAGTGTGCTCCTACCTAAGTGTGTGTGGCAGGGTGCAATCTTACCTTTGACGCAGGAGAGGAGGGCACAGGTGTCTTTTAAAGGATCCCCAATCCAACAGGTGGGATTCAGTTTATTTGAAGAAAAATAGGTCCAAACTAATACAGGGTTTTTACCTTCTCTCTTACAACATTATAATCATCCTAACAAAAAAACCGTGCTGTGATCATGTTCAAATGAAACTTTAATTCACAGTCTTACATTTATTACCAAAATGTTTTAATTTCAACTGCCCATTTCAGTTGTGACATTTTAAAATTCTCCCGATAGAATTTAGAGGTATTTCCTCGTAAAAAGACCGGTGACAATAAAAAGCGCATTCAACTTTTCATTCACCCATTTATTCACATCAGTTTTCATACACTTTTTCCGACACAGACGGCGGATTAACACTCAAAAAACCCATTCCTGTCCGCAAAATTCGAAGGAAGGTCCTTACAGGTCGCGGTATTTATAATTTTCAAACACTTTTTTCCGACACAGACGGCGGATTAACCTTTCAAAAACACATTCCTATCCGCAAAATTCGGGGGACCAGATGTTTTCCCCACAGGTCGCGGTATTTATAAAGGTTCACACACTTTCTCTCATCAAATCATTCCACTCAGCCAACAACCAATAAATTCGAGAGATATTTACCCCGTCTAGAAGGACCTTACCGAGAGCTATTAACCCAGCTCTGAAGCACACAGCCTACCCGGAGAGAGTCTACCAGGGGTCACCCCCCCTCTCTCGCGCTCTCTCAAAAAACCAGTCTCTTTATGCTAAAAAAACTGGATCCTAAACCCAAAAAAACAAACTCCTCCTCTTACACCCAATTCAGTTGAAAACCGCGCATGCGCATAATGTACAAGGCTGAACATGTCCCAACATGTTCCACAGCTGTTATGGGATAAGACACCCTTTCATATGAGGTAAAAAGGACATGAACTCTCTTTGGCCTCTTAATGTTTCTCCCCTTAGTGTGAAGCCCCCCCCCCCCCCCTCTCTCTGGACTGCTGCCAGAGGAGAGGAAGAAAACTCAACCTAAACAAACCACTTTGTTTTGTTTATACTGTAACTATAGAAAACCTAAAATATGAAGCATTTTCATTGTGGGTTATACAATAATATAATTTATTATATTTGATTATAACTAACTTTCGTTTTTAAGTATTAAACATACTATGAAAACTCACAACACCCTCTTTTCAAAACGCAAAGTTCTCAAATAGCAACAGAAAAAATTGTAAGCATAGATACATATTCAAAAACCGTCAAGAAGCATTCTCATTATGGGTTTATACAAGAATATGATTGATCATGTATGATTTATAATTAACTTTCGTTTTTTAAGTATTCACTTCATACCATGATCTCAATTAACTTTCGTTTTAAGTATTCACTTCATATGAAGATCTCAACACCCTCTTTTCAAACGCAAAGTTATCAAATAGCAACAGATAAAATCGTAAAAACACATACATATTACATCCGTAAAACTCCACGCATCAATATCATGAAAAGTTCTTCAGTATGTGTAATCAGGACGACCCTTTGATGAACCTGGTGTGAAAAAACACCGAAAACATAGTACCGTACAGGAATGTCCTTGGGCGAGGGGCCCATCTGTTGTAGACTCCTAAATCCATGTTGCTATCTGATGTAAATCCTTGACCCTGACCATGGAGGGGTTGCAGTTTTTTCGCTGGACGACATCTCCAAACGAAAACCAGATAACTCGGTCGACAGTTGTTATGGATTTTTTAGACCTCGTAAATAATCGCTCATGACTTTGTGACAAGGTCAATGAGTCCCCACACAATGATAGCACAAACGAGGAACCAGAGGCATATGAAACAGCTTAGCTGGCACTGGCTCATGACATCCTGTGTGTGCAGTGTGAGATTAGGTGTATGTGGTGCCAGTGTGGTGCTGGTGGTACTTGTTGTCGTCTTTCGTTGGTGACTAGGACACATCACTTGTTGTCGTCTGTTTCTACCGTCTCTCCTGGCCTGTGACTACGACCTTGCAGTGGCTGGCGTGGACCCACGTGGCTCTCTCGGTGACCTTGACCGCTGTCTGGGTGATGAGGAGCACCTGGTAGGGACCTTGCCAACGGTTGGATTTCCAGCTCTTTCTCCGGAAGTCCTTGACCAGCACGAAGTCACCGGGTTGGAGATGGTGAAGTGGACCAGTGGCAGGGGGTAGGTAGGGTTGCTGCTACCTGGCGTCTGATATCTGACCATGCAGTTATCAGGTAGTCGTCATCCTTTCCTGGGAAATCCACTGCGATCTGAGTGGCTCAGCGGGTAGAGATGCAGCCTGTCCCACAGAGCTGGAAGAATCATCCTCCTTCTCTGGCGGGGTCATAGGTGACTCAGCCGCTGATCCATTAATAATTGTTTCAATTGAAACAATTTCCCCCAGGAATCCTTCCAAGGGGTCTGGTACTCCATGTTCCTCTGGAATGTCTATTGACAGCAAGGACATCTTTTTGGCTTGGGCACCCGGGGAGACCTCTGAATCAGATCACTTTTTCTCTTACGAGTCTCCTCCTTTTTCACCGCTTGCCCCTTCCGGTCCTTCTGCACAGGTTTCCTGGGTCCAGGAGTCTACTTAGCTTCACTTGAGGCACTGTGACTGAAGTTTTCCCCGCTAGGCAGGTTCAAATCCTCTTGGTAGATTGCTGAGGTATTAATCTCAAAAATATAGCTAAAATCAAGTTTAAATCATTTCTCTGATCCATAAAAAGTTGTTTCAGTTAAAATAAAAACTTCCCCAAGGGTTTTCTCAAGAGGGTCGTGTATTCCATATTGCTCTGTAATTTCTATACACAGCAAGGTGATTGTTTCTCCTCTTACTCAGTTGGCCTCTAATGGCAGAAAGCACTGGGCCATAATTTACTCTTATCAGTTTAACGACCTGACAGCCCTACACCTTCATGCTGTGTGAGAACCAGCAAAAAAGAAGGAGAGATGTGCTCAAAAAATCAAATTTAAATGAATACTCTTTTTAGGGTGTAAGCGTATATCAATTAAAAATAACTGAAAAGAAAACTAATAGTGTAAAGTTAAAAAACAATGAGAAAAATAATATAAAGGTTATTTTCCATTTCCTCTTTGATACTGAGGTATTCTCCATTCAAGCTCTAATGATTCATATGCTTAATAGACAGAGTTTCGTCTTGCCATCTTTCTGCATAATTCACTATAGATTCTAACAGTTCTACTGCTAAATCCTTTGCATTGGAGCTATTGCTTGTTACTCAGATTTAAATTCCCTCTTTTGCTCTATAAAATATCCCTTGGTACAGAATTTACCAAGACAAATTCTAACTTATTCCGGGAAGATCCCACAAAAAGCCATCCTCTCCTGTGGAAGAAAACACATTAACTGCCACCTGTGTGTGCAAAACATGTCATGTGATGTGAGACTGATAGCATCAATAGTGGATGGGTAGGCCGCAGTCATATTCCTATCTGGATTCTAAACTCAGTTGGCTCGGGTGAACCGGTCCTCTCTTCTGGAGTGAAACTACTTTCCCAGAAAATTGACTTCACTGTATCCAAACCTTCTGATTTAGTTTTAAGCTAACCCTTCTCTGGACTTCGCCCCTTTCTGGTCACCCATACACGATTTCTGAATTTAAACGGAAAAGGTGTGATAGTTAGATATGACCTGACCTTTGCCCTAGGTAGCTTTTCCATAGGAATATATTCAGCCTTGTCAAATTGATTGGAATGTCCCAATTTGTTTTACAGTTTTTTATTTTATACTCCACTCTTTGGCTCTAATGCCTGATACTTCTATGGTAAAGACCAGATAGGTGTGACTCCCTTTATCCTGCAAGGGTGACAAAAACTTCCTCATTTTTAAAGTGAGTGACATTATCCATTCCTATTTTCTCAGTTTTTAGGAAAAATACTTATATGT